TCGCCAAGTTGCCCAGGCAGGTCTCGAACCCGCGGGCTCAGGCAGTTCACTCACCTCAGCCTCCCAAAGCGCTGGCATTACAGGCTGAGCCACCGAGCCCGGCTTCTCGCTCCTTTTAAAATTGAGTCTGTGTGCAGCTAACTATAGAATAAGCTGAGGTAAATCTTTTTTTTTTTTTTGAGTTGGAGTCTCACTCTGTCACCCAGACTGGAGTGCAGTGGCCGCTCCCAGCCACCGCAGCCTCGACCTGCTGGGCTCCGGCGATCCTTCTGCCTCAGCCTTCTGAGTAGCCAGAATTACAGGCATGCACTACCATGCCCGGCTGATTTTTTTTTTTTTTTAATTTATTGTAGAGACGAGGTCTCGCTGCCCAGGCGGGTCTCGAACCCGGGGGCTCAGGTAATCCACTCACCTCAGCCTCCCAAAGGCGCGGGATTACAGGCTGAGACACCGAGCCCAGCTCTGAGGTAAATCTTTTCTGGAACAAGGCAGGGTGTAAATAAATAAAGTGTAGAGTGATACTGGAGTAAGATTTAATTTGAAAGCCAGGAGAGATGTACAGAGCTAATAGGGGAAGGATTCACAGTCCCCAGATGGCAGGAGCTCGGGTTTCAGTCGGCCTGTTGGTGCGCCTTGCATTTTAAAACGGTTGCATAGTCATTATCTAGTATTTTTATTCCTAGGAAGCCCCTGTCCTGTGACTTTACCACGCCCGGCTAATTTTTGATTTATTGTAGAGATGAGGTCTCACTTGCCCAGGCAGGTCTCGAACCTGCAGGCTCAGGCAATCCACTCACCTCAGCCTTTTTTTTTTTTTTTTAATTAGAATCTCACTCTGTCTCCCAGACTGGAGTGCAGTGGCATGTTCCCGGCCACCGCAGTCCCGTCCTGCTGGTCTCCGGCGATCCTTCCACCTCAGCCTTCCAAGTAGCTGGAACTACAGGCGTGCACTACCAAACCCGGCTCCTTTTTGATTTTATTGTATAGATGAGGTCTTGCCAAGTTGCCCAGGTGGGTCTCGAACCTTCGGGCTCAGGCAATCCACTCATCTCAGCCTCCCAAAGCGCTGGGATTTCAGGCTGAGCCACCAAGCCCGGCTAACAAATAATTTTTTGAAAAATTAGCCAGCCCAACTCGTAACCTGTAGTCCCAGCACTTTGGGAGGCCGAGGAGAGTGGATGGATTGCCTGAGCCCATGGGTTCGAGACCAGCCCGGGCAACTTGGCGAGACTTCATCTCTACAATAAATCAAAAATTAGCTGGGGCATGGTAGCGTGCACCTGTAGTTTCGTCTACTCGGAAGGCTGAGGCGGAAGGATTGCCTGGCCCAGCATGTCGAGGCTGCGGTCGCCGGGAGCGTGCCACTGTACTCCAATCTGGGCGACAGAGTGAGACTCCAACTCAAAAAAAAAAAAAATTAGCCAGACATGGTGGCATGTGCCTATAA